GTGTGTGTTTGTGTGTGTAAGAGAGAGAGAGAGAAAGAAAGAGAGAGACTTGGTGTGAATTAGTAGAAATACAGAGAAATAGAAATCAAGAAAATATAACGTTATGCATTTCAAATCTTCGAAGTGAGAGAGAGAGAGAGAGAGAGAGAGAGAGAGAGAGAGAGAGAGAGAGAGAGAGAGACAGAGACAGAGACAGACAGACAGACGGGCAGACAGACAGAATCAGAGAAAGAAAGAGAGACACAGACATAATGATGATCGTTGAGTTTAGCGATATGTCCAGATGCAATGGCAGGTGTGTAATTAGCTGAATAACGATGGATGATATTTCATAGCTTTTTTTACGAGGGTGGGGCTGAATAGTTCATACGCTGACTATGAAGAAGTGAAGCTACAGCTATGAAATCTTGCATGCATCAATTTAACCTCGTCTTATTAATAAGTGCCTTTTTATTTCCCGGTAAACTGACGTCTGACTAGTTAAAGAAGACTTCAAATGTAACAACTTCTCTTGTAACTGTACAAAATTTGGCATCATGGTGTTATTAATTATCCACAGAAAAAAGGGTTTAGTTCCGAAGGGTATTCATTCTGACATCGTTGCTACATTAGGGGGGTAAGTTCCCAGCTAGAGTATCTCTGTCATGTCCCGTGTCGTGTCACCTGGATGATTTTCAATCAGTTTCGATTTAATTAGCATCAATGATTGCAGGCTTCATTCAGACCAACATTTCCACTTCTGAAGCTTGTGAACTTCTTACGAACAACACTCTTAGCTATGGTACCGCCTCCATGAATGGCACATATCATTTTGCTAAGTGTTCAGCCTTTATTCTTTGTCAGAAAAAAAAACAAGCCTCAAGTGACAAAAATGCATTTTTCTTTCATGTTAACGTTTAATGTACAGTTAAACTTCACAATTCACACACAAATTTTATAGCAAAACGTTCCCACCCGACCGCTAATTCCATATATATGATGTTACATTCAACATTAATAAAATAATAATATTAATTATTGAAACAAAAAACTAAATATTTTATTAATTACTTTTTTTTAAAACTTTCACCGCAACACATATAAGAGGCGCAATTAGTAAATCAGTAAAATTGTGCTTATTCCGGGAGGAGGGTGCAGGGAAAAAAAACTGACGTCCTAGAAGAAAACTGACTGTAGTTTTGAAACCCGCATGACAATTTCAGTCTAATTCAAGTAAAAATAACGAACTCAACAAAAACTATGTTCAAAATTGTTCCCCTGTTTATATGAAGCTTGGTTTGGTTTGTTTTACGGCATATCAACCTCAATGGATTATTTAATGCCGACAACATTTTTATTGCTGGTAATAATTTTTTTCAAAAAGTATTTTTGGTAATATTTTTTCCAGAAAAGTATTGATGTTAATGTATTGCTGATAATAGATTTTTCTTAAAAAATTTATTACTGGTAATATTTTTTTACAAAAATGTTTTGCTGGTGTTAAAAACTATTTTTTACATGTTTTGACCCCAGGTTTGAGGTTAACTATTTGCCCAAAGCTGGAACCCTAACAATGCTACCACTCCGGATCAGGGTTGACCTGGGAACAACAAACAGTTAAGAGATGGTTCCACGCTCCTCAAAATCTGATCAGAGGCCGTGCTGTCGAATGTAGTTTATCGTCTGCCCTAGGACAGTCCCAGTTTGGGGATTAACTATTTGCTCATAGATCATATTTGTTTGGATCCTAACAGGTTCTATTACCCCGGATCAGGGTGGACCTGGGAACACTAGCTATTAAGAGGTGGTTCCACGCTCCTCAAAACCTGATCAGAGGCCGTGCTATCGAATTTAGTTTATCGTCTTACCCAGGAGGTGGATGTAGTTTATCGTCTTACTCAGGACGCTGTAATATGAAGCCTATATTTTATCCTAATTTTGCCTTCTTTTTCAACAACTCCGTTTCACTTTGCCTAGCACATTTCATACACTTAAAGTAGTGATACGCTTTAAGGTTTGAGATTTTTATTAAGAAGAATAATCACATCGTATATACTCATGTATAAGTCGGTCATGTATAGTGCGCCCCCTGAATATTTTTGCATGAATTTTAATCCCTCCAGAAAAAAATCCCCTGTGTAAAGTGCAAGCGGTCACCGAAAATTCATGATTTTTAACCACTTCAAAAAATGACCTGTGTATAGTGCTATCCTTATTTTTGCGTAAAAGAACGGATAATAAAAGGACACATGGCACAGTGGATAAAGGCGTTGGTTAGATCCAGTGACAGGACACAAAGAGTCTGAGTTCAATACCTGGTTAAGGCAGTGGAGAACTTTCAGCGGGAAATTAACAGGAGATAACTGATAACTGACATCCATTAAACATGGAACGTGGAACTAGAACAGTCTACCTTAGTGAGCGAAATAAACATTCGACATTCTAATCACGTGAAGAAGGACGGAGCGTACAACGGCCGAAACGTTGTAATAAAGATGGCGACAAAATGAGGAAAATAGTCCGAATAATGTAAATAATGCGGATAATAAAATTCCACACTATACTTAAATATATAAGGTAATCGATTTTCCATATATCAACGCTGTGTTCTGTGATCGATTAGAAAGGTTTGTTTTTGTAATGTTATTACTTTGGAAATTAATTATATCGCACATTATTTAATTTAAAAAGAGAAATAATCTCAAAGTGGTTTTTAGTATGCATCATCACGCAAACAAAACATGAGCTGGTTTATTAAACGTGTACTCAGTGTTCGTAGTACTAAGAACACCAAAATTTCAATCTATAGCGTATGCAACGTGAGCGTGCTGCTCTATCCAGCGAGACTCGGAGCTTCTACCCCAGACAGGAGAGACGCCTTTCATATTTACTGTCTTAAACTGATTCTGAGCATCATTTGGTCCGACCCATTCATCAATGCCATTAACCCAGCCTATATATCATTCCCTAACAGCGCCAGTTCCGCTGGTTTAGACATGTACACCGTATGCCAGATGGGAGGATTCCAAAAGTTCCTTCTGTACGGGGAACTGGCCATCGGCAACAGGGCATGAGGGTGCCATCGTCTTCGCTTCAAGTACGTCTGTAAAAGGAACATGATGACGATGGACATAGACATCGAGATATGGGAAGTGATCACCAACGGTCGCTCAGGCCGGAGACGCGTTTTACACCAAGGGCTGGAGCGAAAAGAAGAGAAAAGAAGTGTTGCCGCCGGGGAAGAAGCGTGCTCGATGGAAAGAAAGAGACATAAGTGGAGTGCGACTCCACATGCATTTATTGCAATCGAGACTGTCACTTCCGTGTCGGTCTGTACGGCCATAACAGATGTTGCACCGCCATCAACTAATGAGGCATAACTCTTTGGGTGCAGATCCAAAGTTTCTCAAGGCCAACGGGTGCCACAAACATATCGAGTGAAAAGCTTTAAAAACAGACATAACTTGATCTGGATCAATATTTCTCACCTGTACACACACACACACACACACACACACACACACACACACACACACACACATATATATATATATATATATATGATTTAGAAAGGTGGGAATACCTCGCCAACGATCGCTGACGCTGGAGACGCGATTTACACCAAGGGCTGGAGCGAGGAAAGTAGAAACGAATTCTTACCGCCGAGGACACGCGTGCTCGACGGAAAGAAAACAACAAAGAGACATAAGTGGAGTGCGACTTCACAGTTATTTATTGCAATCGAGACTGTCCCTTCCGTGTCGGCCTGTACAGCTATAAGAGATGTTGCACCGACATCAACAACTGAGGATCAACAACTTTGGGCGCAGATCCACAGTTTCTCTAGACCGACGGGTGCCACAAACATATCGAGTGAAAAGCTTTTAAAAACATATATCTTGATCTGGGTCAATATTGACAACTGTTATGGTAATTTACCCACGAACGCATAGATTCTGTCAGCTATAAATAGGAGCAGGTACTGCCTTTTGGAGATGGAAGTTTCCAGCAGTCATCTTTGTAAGTCGGACCGAACATTTTTGCTGTAACACTCTCGCCTGTATATGTTTGTATTACTATTTCTGGTAATATATTTGTTTAACTCATTTCCTCTCTTTGTGTCTTTATTTTGGGCCCTAACAAGGCCACAACAACAAACTTTGGAGAATGTTTAAAATATAATGTCTTGTGAGTTGCGGCCAAATGTTTTGTGTGAGTTTAATGGAAATCGCTCTTCATTGAAAATTACATTTTGCAAGGCATCGTTCGCTATTCCCATGCGTCTGTCACATTTTTTGTCGTCGATTGTAAAACTTCCAAGAGAGTTAAATTCCTGTAATTGATTTTGCTGCGAGCTACAACTTGTAGCTCGCATTAACTTTTCTTTTGTTAAAAACACACGTTCTGTCTTCTTGCGATTAATGGTAGGCTTACGGTCATATCAAATTGAACCATTGGTTCTCGTCCGATCACCCAAGTTAAGCAACGTTGAACGTGGTCAGATGTGCGACCGATGGAAATACCAGGTGTTGTAAGCTTGCATGTGGGGGTGGTGTAATGGACGATGGCACAGAATTGATAATCGGAGAGCCGAGTTCCAACCGAGCTCGTTATATCCACTTACGCGCAAACACCCTTTGGAAAGGTATGACTCTACCTGTTCTCCTCCTGGCTATCGGTTAAATAGTAAAACTTGTATCAGAAAATAATTATTATCTAAGAAAAAAAACTAAATGAATGGATAAAAAATTCTTACAATCCCAGAATATGTTTCGGCTCTAACACAAAGGACTAAACACCAATTGGATTAACTTGTTTTTTTTTTACGGTTTATCAACCTTTTTGAGGTTTTAGTATCCGCAAATCAATCCAATTGGTGGTTAGGCCATTTTTTTCGTTTTCTTTTAGTTCTTTATGTTAGAGTTCTTTAAGTTTTCTTTCAGTTTACAATCAACTTTGGTGTCAATGGCGTATCTTAAGCATGTGCCCACCAATAATAAATCAGTCTTACGGCGTATCACGTTGAAACACCGGTTCCTGTACGATCACTGAAGTTAAGCAACGTCAAGCTCGGTCAGTACCTGAATGGGTGACCTATTGGGAATATCAGGGGGTGTCATGGATCATGGCTCGGAGTTGTTAGTAGGTGAGCCGAGTTGGGTTTGTTACATTTACCTACGTGCGATTAATTAGTATGACTTGTCACACTAAACAACTATTATCTAAAAAAAGTCTTACAATATAAAATAAATATTATTTGCTTTTAGTAACATGCAAAGGACATAAAATGGAATCAATAATCAATAAATAAATAATCAATCCTTTGTAGGACTTCTAGTTCGTCGTATAAGTAAAATAAATCAGGTGAGAAGACGTATGCTTGTCTTACGCTTCTCTCCATATTTGTGTAATTTGCTCAGTTCATTTCTCTATCCGTATACAGACTGTTTGCTCGTCTCTAGGTCACCGAGTTTAAACAATTTTCGACAGAACACAGGTAATCAAAACAATATTTAACAATTTTCGGCAGATCACAGGTGAACGATAAACAAGACCATGTTCTTATATATGTTCAAGATATTCTTCGTTTGAAGTGACATTTCAGTCTCCGGTTAAGCGAGACAGTTTCTTTTTTTTTCTTTTTTTTTTAAATCGGCTCAGAAGACGTGAAAGAATGGAATATCCCGTGACTGCGGTTGTTGTATTTTTCCGGTGGATGGCAAAGGTCGGCATTCGATTACACGGATAAAACATAATCTATAATACTGGTTTTCAAAGTAAACAAGCCCTCCTCACTGGGAAGATTGGTGCAATACATTTTCCTTATTTCTCACACTATTGTTTGGGTTTTTGTGTTATTCCAAGTTTAGTCAATATCAATAGTAACGATTACAATAAATAATTGCATTTTACAAGATAGATAGATAGGCAAACACAGACTCAGGTAAGTAGATAGATAGATAGATGGAGGGATAGATAGGTAAATAGATAGATCTAAACAGACAGAGATAGATAGATAGATAGATAGGCAGACACAGACTGAGTTATGTAGATAGATAGATAGATAGAAACAGACGGCGATAGATAGATAGATAGATAAATAGTCACAAACTGAGGTATGTAGATAGATGGATCTAAACAGACGGATATATATATATATATATATATAAACATAAACAGACGGAGATAGATAGATAGATAGATAGATAGATAGATAGATAGATAGATAGATAGATAGATAGATAGATAGATCTAAACAGACGGAGATAGATAGATATGTTTAGAAAAGTCAATATCAGTAGTAACAATTATAATAAATGATGGCATTTTACTAAACCAAATATCGTTATATAATGGCCATATTCTGTCATGAGTTACACTTGAAGTAATTCTTGATCACTGACCTTTCTCTTTGATTTCAATGCATTCCGATGATAAAAATCATAAACAGGGCATTTACATTATACATATAATAGCACTATCCTGTCAGTAACATTTGCATTCATTAATCAGGTGAGAAGATGCACCTTTGTCTTATGGGTCTCTCTATAGTTGTGTATTTGCTCAATTCTCTAACCGTATACAGGCTGTTCACAGTAAATCTCTTGCAAATAAACACATATTAAGACATTAAACAGCTAGCTAGCAAGCTAGATAGATAGAAAGATGGATAGATAGATAGAAATATATAGATATAGATGAACAGACGGAGATAGATAGATCTGAACATACGGAGATAGATAGATAGATAGATAGATAGATAGATAGATAGATAGATAGATAGATATAGTAAAAGATGAAGAAATAACAACGAAGAAGACAGATAGATAGATAGGTATGAACAGACGGAGATAGATAGATAGATAGATAGATAGATAGATAGATAGATAGATAGATAGGTAGATGGAGAGAGAAAGAGAGACAGAGAGGGAGACAGACATACAGACAGACATACAGACAGACTGATAGACAGAGAGATGTGTTTTATTTTTAAAGCCTGTGGAACATACACTGTTGAAATAAGAACCCCTGTTGCCGATATGCAATAAGCTATTCTTATTGAAACAGCGAAACATGGCGTGTCTATTTTCGTATGGATCGGCATTTCCACCTCAGGCCAAAGTGTTACCTCCTGCTATTTCCTCCTAGAATCACTGGAATATTTGTGTGCTCTGAGAATTTCGCTACACATATACATACTGACGCACACACAAACATACATATACACACACATAGACATGCACACACGCAAACACTATCAACTGAATGTGTGTGTGTTCATTTCCGTGCGCGAATAGAATTTACTAAAGCAAAGTAGAAAAAGAATGGAGAAGAAAAGCTTTTGAAAGAACAAAGATGGAGGGCAAGTAAGAAAAAACTGGAGCAAAAAATGAAAAGAAAAGCGAATGAAAGGAAAGGAGGGGGCCGAGATGGAGACGAAAGGAAGATAGAGAAATACTTCTTTGTCTTGAGTTTTACTACTTCTTTACCCCTTTGATTTTTAAATGTTTTCTTTTATATTTTTCTTTTTTTGGCACGAAGTGAACCAAAATTAGGAAGACAGTTAAATACTACGGAATTAATACAAGAGCAGATATCAAAATAATATGAAACCAAAATCAGGACGAAGAGGATTATTAGACAGCCATTAATACTCACCTATTTTCTTCAGGAATATAATAGGAAATGCTTTTGCAGTAGGACAAACGGCAAAGTGTGTCAGATTTGCTTGGTGCACAAATCAACGCTAAAAGTATCTCCAACAAAGAGGGCGTATTATTTACGCCCTGTGTCCAATGTTAAGACGACGATAGACATGGGAAAAGGAATCCATTGTAAGCCGGATTACAAGAGGCAGAACAGTGTCTTCATTAACGTTCTCGAGATCAAAATTGGAAATGCCAAACAACTCTCATGCTTGAGACGGCTAAAGAAATAAAGTAGAGCACCAGTTTATCGTCATATCCGTGACTAGATGGGAAATGATAATAATGAAACTGGTTCCCAAAAACAGAAACAGAAGATGGGGGCTGACGTTGCATTTAATTGTTTGAAAATTTTCGGTAGTAGAAAAGCAAGAAGACGGAAGGGAATACCAGATATCAAAATGCATGTTAAGAAACAATTAGAATACAATTTACGGCTGATTTTATTTAGCGATTTAGCGGCAGATCAACCGTTATTACCAATATCTAAATATTTGAACGCAATTGTATGCCTTCAACTGCAGATTAAATGTTTTGTTGGCCATTTTACTATACATAGGTATTGTTGGCAACTATATAAAAATATATTGCATGTATTTTTATACTTTCAATTTCAGTGTGGTGGGAAATTCACTATTAGGTGCTATCACCCCAGATCAAGGTAGAACTGGGAAAAACAGAAATTAAGGGGTGATTCTACCCTCTTCAAAACGTCGAATATCCTGGTCAAATACCTTGCAGTAGGACAGACAGCAAAGTGTGTCAGATTTGCTTGGTGCACAAATCAACGCTAAAAGTATCTCCAACAAAGAGGGCGTATTATTTACGCCCTGTGTCCAATGTTAAGACGACGATAGACATGGGAAAAGGAATCCATTGTAAGCCGAATTACAAGAAGCAGAACAGTGTCTTCATTAACGTTCTCAAGATCAAAATTGGAAATGCCAAACAACTCCCATGCATGAGACAGCTGAAGAACTAACAGCAGGGTACCAGTAAAATCACGAGGACCGTGCTTAATAATCGGAGTCTTAAATCACACATTATGAAGTCAAAGTACTTCTTCATTGAGTCCATGAAACCTTGGTGGTTAGAAAATTGCAACAAAGATCTCAGATACCTCTAGAATTATGGACGCAGTTCAGAACCGCCGAAACGAATGGTACTTTGCAGTTGGTGTTAATGGCTTCTTCAGAGCCGAATTTCCTGACCATATTCTTCGATATCATGATCCACAATGGGAATAAAATACCCTCATTCTTCGACAAGCATGGAAAAAATGGTGAGTGTTGATGACTACTAAAAGGTCTGACATACCTTTAATTCCAGTTACCTCGATTAAATCTATGTGTAAACCCAGGACAGAGCTCCCATCCTCGCAGCCAAGACGTTTTTGCTGATTTCTGGCTAGCAGACCTCTTCCAGCCTGATCTCATTAGGTCACACGTATGAGGCATTTTGGTGTCGCCACTGACAAGAACTGATATCGCAATATAAAAGATATGACTGTAGGCTACTATCAAGAAGGTGTGAGCGAAAATTCATGAGGAAAATGTGGTTAAGAGTTACGCAGCTTTTCAAGGTCCTGTTGAGGTTGTAATTGAAAGTAACACCAGACACATTAATAATAGGCGATCATGGCCCTCCACTTGCCCCTATTCCGTGTGGCTCTCAACAGGTTTTGTGTTTGTGTCAACTCCCCCAGACTACGCCCGCCACGTATGTTATACTCTGCTTTCCGCTGTCTTTTTTCCTCTATTCGTCCCGTGAGTATCAGATTCTCCAGGCCTTCCTTTCTCATCGCGTGTCCCAGAAATTTCATCTGCCTCTTCCTTGTATTAAGCATAAGCTTCCTCCTTGTTTGCATCTTCTTCAAGACCTCATCGTTGCTCACATGCTTGGTCCATGATATCATAAGCATCATTCTGTAGAACCACATCTCCGTCTCTTCTTCATCCTTGAGGATACCGTCCAACATTCTCTGCCGTATAGGAGGACAGATGTCACGTAGCAGCTCAGTATTCTAATGTCGACCTTAACACGTTCGACATTTCAACCACCTGTAGAAGGCCGGAGCGTACAACGGCCGAAACGTTGTGATAAATATGTGCAACAAAGATGAGGATGATAGTCCGAACAATGTAAATAGAGTACATAATATCTCATCTCAGAAATATAGACAAATACTCTTTTCTTTGTCACCATAGAAATCTTCTTGTTTCGCAGCACTCTTCCCAGCTCCTGGAATGCATTTGTCTTCGGATCTCAGCGTCGCACCTACCGTCCTCCGTCAGAACACTTCCCAGATACTTTAACTTTTACACATTTTTGATTTTAGTTTCCCCGACCACTAAATTACATTTTGGGCTCATCCTTTTACTGATGACTATGCATTCTATCTTGTAGCTTATG